TATTGATTGCAAGGTGAAGTCCAAGCATTGAGTATGAGCCCAAACTTTGAATTGTTCTCCTAAGACAAATTTTGAACAGGTAATTTTAGCAAAGGAAACTAAGATATTATATATGAAAGGACTCACATGTAGTTCTGATATGACTGTTGATTGGAGACCAAGATAAGTCTTGTGAGCAAAGTGTTCTAACCAACTCCAGCCAAAGAGTTGGGCCTGAGGTTTGGCATATTGGAATGCAGCACAAAGTGCTGGATCTTTGATCCGTACCCATGGCTGTGATGTTTACACTGCCCACATACCCATCATTTGATTCAAGATTGAATTTGAAAATTGAGTCAACCTTGGAAAATATGCTTCCACTGATGTCTGAGTTGCCAATTCTTGCTGTCTTTCTTGCCTTTCTTGTGCTTGCGCTTCAGCAACTGCAGGGGAAAGACAACAATAAGACACCTTTGCTACATTACACTTTGAGCAACCCAGTTTGCCAGTCTTTCCATCTTGATTCAAACCATCTCAATGAGCATACATATTCAATGTAGAACCTCTGCTTGTGTGGAATTTGTTTTTGAAGCACTTGCATGGATAAGAATTCCACAGACCTTCAATAGGCAAGATGAGAGAAAACAAAGATTACACCAAAATACATGAGTGGTTCAAATATAGGATGATTGAGTAAAAATGATTAATTGAAATTCACTTACATCCTTGTCACCCTGCACAGCTGTGTGAAAATACTCCCTTATATTGTCAAAACCATTGTCACTGTTGGACTTGACTTTACTAGTGCCTTGGATCTTGGCATGTTCATCCTTGGAGTCTTGGTGCAAGTTCACAACCAATTTTTTCCCGGTTGAAGTGATTGATGAGCTGTGTGACCTTTGTAGAAGGAAACAACAGTTACAGTCCATCAATATTTCCCTGGGTGAATTGCAGAAGAAATCCATTTGCCTTACCAAACTTGGTACAATTTGAGTGTCATCATTTTCTTCTCAGTCTGCTTCAAGCTGCTTAGCCGCTTCTTCTTCTTCTGATTGATCAATTGCAAGGCATTGGTCTCAGACTGAGTTTGTTCTTTCTCTGTATTGGTCATAGTTCTTTTACGCTTTTCATGTTTCTTCTTGGCCTTTTCAATGACCATAATTGATTGTTCAGAATCTGACACATCTGTGGTGTGAAGCTGGATAGACTTTTGGGAATCTGAAGGAGGTATGATCAGAGAGGAGTACTTGGTTCAAAGTAGAGTAGTCTGAGTGCTTTGAGAGGACTGGGTTTGAAGTGGGGTGGTTTAAGTGCTTTGAAGTGGTCCTGAAGATGGATGCACAGGAGATGCAGGTGATCCAAGGCAAGAAAAGCTCATTTGACAAGAAGTAGGCAAAATCTGGATACTAGACTCTAGCTCAGGCTGGAACAGAAAACAAGAGGATGGATCAAGATTTGGTAAGCAACCCCTTAACCACTGTTTGTGTGGTAAGAATCAAAATGATAGAACGTATGATTTTCAACTGTGTTGGACATTGGATTAGACCTTGGATCAACCAAATCATTTATGTAAGGAGCCAAGAAAGGCTGGGCCCAAGGCCACATGATGCTTTGAGATGGATTGAAAAGGTGGATGTTTTGCTTGATGCTGGAATTTGGATGGTCCAATCAATTGAAAACGTGAGAATAGTGTGTGAGTTTGGAATAAAGGAGGCAATGAAAAGTTGAAAGGGTGGACGTTTCAATTGCTTTTGATTGGTTCAATCAATTGAATACATAGAGATGCCAACATCACATATTGTTGATATTTTTGACAACAGCCAATTTTGGAATTATCATTGATACCACATAGTTACTGACAGTAACCCAATACTGTTGAAGGCCTGGCCTGGTAAAGTAGCAAGGTCCCCAATACAATACCCAATGCGGTATCTAAAGCCATCATACCATCATCCGGCCTGGATGGTAAAGTATTGGCCATAACAATACTAGATATTGTGCTTCAATACAACCTAGAGTAGTTACTGCACCCCTAAAATTTCAATACCAGTACTGTATCAGTGGCAGTGTTGATAGAAGAACTTTGTTCAGTTTGAAGTGTCCTGTTTTTTCAAACTTACACCACAGATGCGTTCTGCCTGTCTGCAGACGGGCAAGGCAGGCCAGCTGCAGACCGCCAGCCTTTGCAGAGGGGCAGGCCGTCTGTAGGTAGCCCTCACGCGCGACCACCAGCTGGCGCCTGCTTGGCCCGGCTGCAGACGGGCTGGTCGCGCCAGCTAGCCAGCTGAAATGCGCCTTCAGACGGTCAGCTGGGTTTATGGCCCAAGCGACTTGGGAGGGCTTTCAGCTCTTGGGCTTGTTTGGCCCAGGGGTTTTCAGGCTCGCGGGGGGCTCAAGCTCAGCTCAGCTCAGCTCATGGACACATTGATAATATGTAGAATCAGTTATAAAGTTTATTTCATATTCAATTACATTGAAAATTTGAGAAAGACACTCTGGAATAGGAAGAAAAACAAATTGTAACTAGTAATGGATGATTATAGTTGTAAGTAAAGCAAATAATCATTAAATGAGCTCAATCTATGTTTGAATTTGCTGGTGGATTGTGGTTTGTGGCCTGGTTTGTTCCAGGTGCGCTTGCAATCTTCGCGGCCCCAGCCATGCGCTCCATGACGACTGCAAGAAGGAACTTTGGCTACAGAATTGCTAATAATTCAGGTTCTTTATTAATGATTCTTATTGTCCAAAGGAATGCCTAATGATCACAAACAATAAAGTAAATCAATTGGAATTCATATCCAAACCAGTTTATGACATCAACAATTTACAATCTTTACTTTTTTGTCTGCATAGCTATTACTACAACCTATAAGTTTTTCTACCTGATTGGCTAAATGTCTAAACATTTGATACCAATGGAAATTGATTTTGTAATGGATTTGAAACATTAGGCATCAGTTTGATGATTATTGATCGGAATTGGAAAGAGATCTAAACAAAGGGTCTTCCATTGACTGAGTCAAGATGACAAAAGCCTGGTGAGAAGCCATATCAGCGGTAAATTGAATTGGAGCAGTGACGATCATGATTGCTTTACTCACAATGTAATAATTGGCTAGACCAAACCACACAAACAACATACTAAACTGATCAATTGGAATTCATCTTCTCAATGAGAGTGACCTTTGTAATCCACTGGAAGGAAGAAGGATAGCAGGCTCACTTACAGTTTGATAGACCATCTCAAAGTGTAGAACGGTGTGGTAATATAAAGTTACTATGAACTTTATATGTGTGTATTACACATGTATCTTATTTTTATTTTTCATTTTTTATTTTATTTAATCAAATTTACTTAATTTAATCAGTTTTTTAATTTTTTATTATTATCATTACATATTAGAAACTTTTATTTTACTTTATTTTATTTTTTATTAATTCATTATCATTTATCAGATTTTTTTTACTTATATACATACATTTATTTATTTCATTTGTTTTGGTTTTTTTTAATTTTATATTTATATTTATCTATTTTTATTATTATTTTTATTTTTATTTTTATTTTTATTTATATTAATTCATTTCATCTTAAAATAGTATATTTTATTTTTATTTATTTTTATTTTTTTATCTTCAGGTATCAAGTAGAGTGAATTGAATAGAGTGATGAATTTAAAGTGGAAAAATCGAATTTTATGGGTTTTGGAGGTATGTGTAAATGGAAGTTATGTGTTAGTGGAGGAATACAGGCCACAAAAGTCGAATTATGGGTTTATTTGCTATGGGTTTAAAAGGGACCAAAAAGTCGAAATTTGGGGATATTGAGAAATGGAGGAGTGGTAAACTGAAATTAAGTTTAGGGACTGGATCAAAGATAAGGGAAATCCTCAAGGCAATTTATTAAATTATGATTGACACATTAAAGGACATTAGAAGATTGAAATTGACAGAAGGAGAATTTTCGAAAATTCGAAAATGACATTCGACAGCTGAGATATTTGAAGTTTGATTAAGGAACTTTGAATAAAGGGAACCACAGCAGCTTTGCAGGGAAGAAATGGTTGGGGTATCTTCTATTGGGGTAGATCATCATTCAATTTAATTTTATTTATCATATTGGTGGTAAACCAAGGTGGTAAACTGGGTATATCACAATTTCGAAAATTTCCTTTGATTTTCATTTGCTGTTTAAGGGTAGATCCATTAGAGTTAGAGTTTAGCTTTGCTGAGCAAAGTTGTAGAGCAGAAAATTCTCTTTCTTTCTGTCTCTTCACAATTTTCATATGGTCCCTCAATCTTATTTTATTTCACATTAAGGGTAAATTGGCGGATTTTCTGGTTTTTGTGATTAACAACTGCGTTTTAGGGTGATTTGTGTGCTTGAAAGTTTGTCAATGGTTAATTTGTGTGCTCCAATTATGTTTCTGAATTTTATTTTGAGTTTGATAAGGAGGATTTTGGTGAATTTGTGTTTGAAGTTGGAATTTCGAGTTTGGGGGTCCATTTTGTCACATTTCAATTTTGTGTGCTCTTATTTTTTTATATATACTTTGGTATCTTTTGTAGGGACTTTTGTCCCCTTTTTAATCAGCAAAAATTATTATTAGAATAGTAGAATAAGCTTGTATCTTTTGATTATTATTATTCAGGTTAAACAACTAGTGAAAGTTGGAATTTTATAATACTAGACCCTTATTTCTCTTTTAATAATTTCCTGTTGAGTTTGGTTCTCATTTGCTCATTGGTATTGGTGCCTGAGTGCGCCTAGAAAGTGTTAATTTTGAAATTATTGTCCTCTTTTAGCCTGGTTTTTATTAATCCAAAGTCTTACAGGACTTAAATTTAATTCATAGTAATCAAAGTCCCTTATTGAGAAGGGCATTTTCTCTGTTTGAAGTCTTTCATTCACCACTCAAGACTTATTATTGTTCTTTTTGTGGTTGTTTGTCTTTTGTTGTCTTCATACTTCCCCTCCTCAGCTCTGCTTTCAGCCAGTTCTGAAAGAGTTCTACATCTGGTCCCTCGAATCGGGATCAAACCGATGACCCTGAGATTTACAGTCTCATGCTCTTCCAACTGAGCTATCGAGGGGTTCTGTTGGTTATCAAGGTTGATTGTAGGATATTAATTTCGTGGTAGAACCAGGATATTGGTCTACTTTGATATTGGTAATTGGTTTTATTGGATAGAAGCACCAGGATATTGGTCTTCTCAGAATTGGATTTATTGGTCTTCAAGATTCAAGAATTCAAATTCAAGTTCATATATTATTATCCTTAGTGATTATTACTTAATTTATCATCAAGAATTTCGTGGTTATTGATTCAATTATTCATTAACTTAATTTAAAGGTTTAATTTGATAGGAGCACCTGGATATAGGTCTTCTAGAATTGATTTGGTTTTTCAAGTTCAAGATTTATTCACTTCAAGATTTATTATTATTTGAAATTTAATTTACTTATTCAGAAGTTGTTAATTTTGTGTAGAACACCAGGATATTGGTCTCTTAGTTGGTATTCAATTTTATTTGGTATCATTTGATAAAAGAACCAGGATATTGGTCTTTTAGAATTTATTAATTATTGGTTCAGGTATTCAAGAATTATTATTATTTTAGATTGATTTTTATTCAGCAAGTCATCAAGAATTTCGTGGTTATTGATTCAATTATTCATTAACTCATTCACTTACCATTTATTGGTTTTTATTTGACAGAAGTACTTGGATATAGGTCTTCTAGAATTGATTTGGGTATTTAAGTTCATTTATATTCACTTCAAGAATTATTATTATTTCAAGATTGATTTTTACTCATCAAGTCATCAAGAATTTCGTGGTTATTGAGTGATTTTATTCATTAATTTATTTATTTATTTCATCAGATTCAAGATGGCAAATTTATATGATAATGAATGGAATAAGGAAGATGTCAAGGCTAGTTCAAGTGGTTTTGATGTTTTGGATAAAGGAAAAGGCAGGGAATTATCAGAGAATTATGATGTTTCAGAAGAAAATGTTTCAAGTTTAATGGAAGGTTTAACTGAGAAAGAAGTGATTCAAGTTTTACAGAGATTAAAGCAAGACAAGATGAAGGCATCAAGAGATGAGAAGGTGCGTAGAAGAGAATTGAGGAATGAAGGAGTTTATCATAGTGATAATTCAGAAGAAGATGAAGATGCTCAGCAAGTTCAAGACAATTTATTAGGGAAAGAAGCTGAAAGATCATTTCAAACTGCAGAAGAAGAAGAAGAACAAATTGAAGATGAATTCAAATTGAGAAATGTTAAATTTCAAGACAAGAAAGATCAGATTCAGAATCAATTTAAATCAAAGAAGACAAGAAGAGTTGTTTATGAAGAAGTTAGCAGTGAAGATGAAGATCACAAGAAACCAGTCAAGATTCAACCAGTTGACAAGAATTTATCATTTAAATCAGGTGGTGATATGGAAAGGTTTTTAAGAGATTTTGAAGATGCAGCTTTAATTGATAATGCAAGTGATAGAGATAAGTGTCTTCAAGTCAAGTTTTTTATCAAAGATGACGAAATGAAGACTGTTATTGAAGCTATGTCAGGTTATAGAACTCAGAGATGGAGATTATTGAAGAATGAAATGAATGAATTATGGGGTGCGGGTACTCAACCTTTGTATACTGATGAAGACTTGTACAAATTATGTGATGATTTATCAAAAGCGGGTGGAATTTCAACAAATGATGCTTATGTCAAGTTTGAAAACAAATTCAAGACAATGTTAATTTATTTGAAGAGTTCAGGTCAAATTGATTCAAGTGATTCAAGATCAATGGCAAGATATTACTTCAAGGCTTTTTCATCTCATATTCAACATCAAATTAAGATCTTAATGGATAGTGAAGGTCAATTGAAGAAGGTTGGTCATCATTACAGAATGGTTCCATTGAGTATGTTGGAAAATTATGTTAGTAGAGTAATGAGAATGAATATGGCTTTTGGAGATTTAACTCAGAATGATGAAGAAGTTACTACATCAAAGAAAATTAATGTTGCTTCAGTTATGGAAGGATTCAGAACTCAACGTCAAAATTCATTGGGTATTTCAGGTAATTCAAGTGGTTCAAGTAATTTGTTGGATCAGTTGAAGAAGAGGTTGGAAATTGTTGAGAAAGAAAATGAAAATTTGAAGAAAGGTGGTGCTACAGGTGGAAGAACTTATGGTAGCAGTGGTAATGGCAATTCTGGTCGTGGTAATTATGGTGGTAATAGAGAAAATAATTATTCAAGAAACAATTATGGTAATAGAAATGAAAATGATGAATTTAAGAGGAATGAAGGTAGTAGACCAGCGTATATGTGTTGGTATTGTGATAGAGAAGGACATTCACTTAATGATTGTATGTATGTTAAGAAAGATGTTGATGATAAATTGGTTAAGTTTGATGGTAAAAACTTCTTTCTTCCAAATGGTGATAGAATTCCTTGGGATCAGAAGCCTTATAGAAGAGTGGTAATTGATAATTCAACTAAAGTTACTCAAGATAAGGTGAAGATTGAGAAAGAAGAAGATAAAGGCAAGGAATCAGTTAAAGCAAGTTGTGGTTCTTTAAGTCAGTGGAATGTTCCTTCAATTTCAAGTCAAAGAAGAGTGATATTTGAATCAGATGCAGCAAGAAGAAAAGCGGATCCTTTGGTCAAGAAAAGGACTTCACCACGTTTTGCTAATTTAGATCAAGACAATGAAGGTGTTAATATTGATTCAAATTCAAGAAATGATAAAGGAAGAGAAGAAGAAATCATTATTACTGAAGAACAAGCTGATCAATTTAGACGTGAGAATTCAGAAAGGTTTTCAACACCTGGTTGGGATGGAGTTGTAGAAAATTCAAGAGACTTACCTGTAACAAGTACGCCTCAAATTACGCCAAAGAAGATTTTGAAGAGAGGAACTCAAATTGAAGATTTAAGTACAGATTCAGAAATTGAAATGTTACCAGGGAGTTATCCAAACACTCCAGATCAAAGACATAAGGTTTTGAGGGACATTTCAATTGAAGATGGAAGAAGTTCAAGAAAACCTACTTATATTTCACCTTTGAAGAATATCAAGAAAGAAGAATCAAGATCAAAGTCACCTGGTATTGTTTCAAGCAAGAAGAATGGCGCTTTAGAAGGCTTAATTGATAAGTGCAAGGAAATGAAGGCTCCTCAACTTACATTGGAGGAATTGATTAATTTGGTACCGGATTTAGTTGATGGATTGAAAATTAAAGGTGGTAGTGTTGGAAATGGAATCAGCAGGAAGGTTAATTTAGGTTCAAATGATAGTTTTAGGCGTACCAATGAGATTATTCAAGAAGAAGATATTGGAAGAATGAATCATGCTGACTTGAATAATTTGGACTTTGGCAAATTAAGATCAATTTTAGGTAGACAGAAGAATTGGTTATATTCATGTCCTTTAGGATTTCTCAATGTTGAACTTGGCGATCATGAAATTACTACAAGATGTTTAATTGATTCAGGATCTCAAATCAATGTTATGAATGTGGATTTTGCTTATAGCATGGATTTAGAATCTCATGTCAAGATCAAGATGGCATTACGTGGAATTGTAAACAATGAAGCTGAATTAGTTGGAATTGTTGAAAATGTTCAAGTCTTAATTGGTGATCATGTTCAAGGAAAGGTTCATTTCTTTTTAACTACAGGTGATGCGCCAGTTATTTTAGGTAGACCTTTCTTAGTTGATTTTGAAGCAAATTGTCAATTTTCAGAGAAGTATGGTGAAAGGATTTCAATGGTTGATGATAGAGGAATGGTTTCAAGGTTTTCAACTTGTGACGGTAAAGCTAGTGAATTTCAAAGAAGTATTCCTGGGATGGATTGGCCTCCTCAAGTTTATCAAAATGAAGAATCAATGTCAAATCAGTCTTCAAGAAGACATAGGTATGCAAATAGTGGGAAGAAAGTTTGGAAATTGGTTAAGGAAGATGCTGATGAACATCACAGGGATTTAAAAGAGTTGTAGGTGGATCTTTAAATGGGGAAATTGTCAAGGTGCAGCAAGACACCCCTGGTTCATCTAATTTTTTGCATCATAATAAGTTTCATTGTACATTTAATCATTTTTCAAATTTAAATTATTCTATTCCTCAAGACTTTAAAGACAATTCTTTTGATTCATATTCAACTTATTATTTCTCTCAATTTAATTTTATTTCAAATGAAGAAGAGTTTAATGATTTTTATGGCGGTAAATGTTTGAATAGTGGCAAGTGTAAAGCAAGAAGAAGAGGTTCGAGACGTGGAAAGAGAAGATTATTACGGTTCAAGATTGAAGATGATTTATTTGAAGAAGAAGAATTGAATGTGTTATCTTATTTGGCAAGTGGACTGGGTATGAAGGAACAAGAATTGATTTGCAATGACTTTAGAGAAGGTGGATTTATTGTTGGTGCAACTAAGTACAAACCAGTGGCTAAGAAGATCAGGCCAGTGAATGAACCAATGCCTCAATATCTTAATCCCCCACTTCAAAGACCACCCCTGTCGAGGGATCCTTATGAAACTCCTGTGCTCAAGAATCCACCAGACTTTGTTGAAACTGAAAAGGTTACTGAAGAAAGGCTCAAGATGGTTAATTTTGGTCCGCCTGGTTGGTTAAGTAGTGAAGAAATGAAATTAATTTTACATGTTATTGTCTTAAGAGAAAAATCAATTGCGTTTCATGAAAGTGAAAGAGGAGTTTTAAAACATGAATACGGGTTACCTTATATTATTCCTGTTGTTGATCATGTACCTTGGCAAAAGAAAGTTATTCCTATTCCTAAAGCAAAAAGACAAGAATATATAGAATTAGTTAGACAAAGATTAAGAACTGGTTTATATGAGCAAAGTACTTCAAGTTATTCTAGCCCAGTATTTTGCGTAATCAAACATGATGGTAAACTTAGAGTAGTTCATGATTTACAAGAATTAAATAAAGTTACAATTAAGGATGCAGGTGTACCACCAGCTCCAGAAGAATTTGTTGAAGCTTTTGCTGGAAGATCATGTTACGGACTTGGTGATATTATGGGTGGTTATGATGAAAGGGAATTAGCATTTGAGT